TTTGGGTCAAGGGGGGGCAAGCTGGAGCAGACTCCCAAGGAAGTGAGGCATTGCTCTTACTGCATCCCATATATATGTGTTGGCTTAGGGAATGCCAGGTGTGGAGGAATGCGTAGGGGAAGTATTCATATAACACAGCATTTAACCAGGATGGCTCCAGCACTCAGCACGCAAAAGGACTGCAAGAACCTCCCGTGTCACCTAGGGCCACATCCTGCAGGTTGTTTATGGAAGCCCTGGTGGTACATGGAAGGAAATAAGGTTCCAGGTGTGCTCGCTCCTTTACCTCCAGCACTCAGTTAGTCTGGCTTTGGTCAGATCTGCACCACTTTTGTCAGATTGTCAGCTTTGGATCCCCTTGGTAGCCCTTGGTAATGCCAAATGTGGGCTGAGGGGTGAGCTGTGCAGACCCACCTCTAGCTCTCCACCACTGGAGGGCACATCCCAATAGGTAATACCAATGGGAGCAGAGGGGAGTTATGGCACCCTTAAAGGACAGGAGTTGGTGTGGGTCCAGAATTTCCAGGGTGGAGAGACTTGGGAAGGGCCCCAGCAGAAAGGAGCAAGGAGCCCTAGAAGATCTGACCTGCATGGCAGGAATTGGGCGCAGCTCCCCACGTCCTTTGTAAGGGCTCCAAAATGAGGCCACGCTGACCCAAAGCTTTTGGGCTTGGCCCTGGCACTTCCCCAGCCACGTATTCCCGCAAGGGCTAGGACGGTGGGGTGGTGCCACCCTATGGCTCTGCAGCAGTGTTACAGGTGTGAGTGGCACTTTGCTGCTCTTTTCCCTCTCTAGGGAGACTTGGCTCCTTGGCTCCCTTTAGCTGGAGCACAGCTCTTTTCCTCTCTGCATCCTGGACAGGATTGTTCTTCAGCCATGGAGGAAAAGTCCTGTCCTGGTACTGCCATACCAGAAACCCCAGCAATTAGGTGGTCATTGGGTTGTAATTAGATGAAATTTAAGGTCCCTTCCAACCTAAGCCATCCCATGATTCTGTAATTCTAATATCTCTGCATGCCTGTCTCTTGCACTTGCATTGTTCTGCCTGGGGCAATCGGGTATTCCTGAGGCTGGAAATCAGCAAGCTGGGGTTTGTTACCCAAACCATGAACCACAAGGCCAGGTGCACAGGTAAGCAGGGATCTTACCTCTGGCAGTTTCTGCTGAAGGAGTAGTGAGTTGCAAGGAGAAAAAACAATGTGCTTTCTCATATACATTGGCATCCCATGCACTTAAAGCCCCAGCTACTGTAGCAGCAGAGAGCTTTTGGAGGCTCGACAAACACTGGGCAAAGATTGTTGCCCAGAGGAACATATCTGCTGGTGGCTTGGGCAAGCAGCATCTTCCCTCTCTGGCACATGAATCCTGTCCTTTCTCCTGGGATGGCAGTCCCCTCCTGCCTCTACTCCATCAATATCTGGCCAATCTCAGCCCGACAGTTGCTTCTGGGGACTCTGGATGCCAGAGACGCCAAGATGTGCTCATGTCCATGTTTAGGAGAGAATCATAGAATCATCTGAATTGCAAAGGGCCCTTAAAGGCCATCTGGTCTATCTCCCCTGCAATGAACAGGGACACCCACAGCTCGATCGGGCTGTTCAGAGCCCCTCCAGCCTGATCTTGGATGTCTCCAGGGATGGGGCACCCACCACCTCTCTGGGTAACATGTTCCAGTGCCTCACTAAAGGAGGAGCCACTTGGGACCTTGACCATCCTGGGGAGGAGGAGGAGATGATCAAAGTGGTATTTGCATGATATTCTCCTTCTTTCTTTCCAAGCTGCACAGGGGACCAGGGGTATTTTTGAAGTGGTCAAAGCAGAGCTCCCAGAGAAGTGTCTGATCTCTTGGAGATATTTTATTTTTCTGAATTCAGATTATTCACAGCCAGTTTGTGTGATGGCATCTGAGCTGCTGCTTGTAATTCTCACTGTCTCGGTGCCAGTGACTTCAGCTGCTCTGCCAACACAAGATGGGATTTTTATTCTGGTTTGTCTTCACTCCCATTCTAAACTTGTGCTGACATGAGATGGTAGAAGCACGCTCAGTCTGGGCAGCTAGATCACCTTTTGGGAAATAGGTTGAAAGAGATGGAAAGAGCCTCTCCAGCACTGATTGAGGTCTAGGGGAGGACATAGGTGGAGTGGAGGGAAGATAACTGATATGTGCAGGAGTGCAGGTGAATGCTACAGAGCTATCTAGACATATTGATTTCTGTTCTGCACAGTGCCATCATCCCTGTCTGACTTCTAATACAGATTGATGACCCTGCCCTTTTGGCCCATTTGCCCTCTGGCTGCGGGTCAGTTACTCATTTAATTCAGTCAACCTGTATTTGTGGCAGACCTCATTCCCTGTGACAGACCTCGCGCCCCAGGGAGGAGCAGTGATGGTCAGGAAGGACAGACACCCCGTTTCCATCTCTTGCTAACAGGGCAGGGTTGAGGTTGGTGTAAAGCATCTGAGTGCCACCAAAACCAGCAGTAGGAGATGTGCCTGGAGTGGCCGAAACATCTGTGGGGTCCTGAAGAACCATGGAGAAGTGGCAGGGTATCAATGCACAGTGTTTGTGGGATGCAAGCTGGGGAGAGCTTCATTCTCTGTTCCCGTTTTTCAGGATAGCACTGGGGCTGTGCATGTTGGCTTATGTAAAAATTTACCCCGGTTATTTCGACAGAGATGGAAAACAATATCTGTTTGGTATCCTAGAGTTCAAAGGGCTTGGTGCAGCACCCACCAGCTGGCTGAGGTTGATGTGGTCACATTGACCTCTGGTGGCTGCAGCCTCAGCGTGCAAGGAAAGCACCGAGGGAAACTGGGTGGGTTTGATGAGCTGCGGTGTGCTGCAGCTGAAATGCAGTTGGGATGCAGTCCCAGCCTGCTGGCATGGAGGCCCTTAGCCACGGGGCAGCTTTGGAGCAAAGAAGCCCACCTTAGTGACTGAATCCCAAAGCCTGCTCTAATTCAGCTCTCACTTGCCACCCCACACACCTGGATGCCCTGATGAGGACGGAGATGTGTTGCCAACACCTAACCAAGGAGCTCCCACATGCTTCTCCCTCTTTTAGCCCCAGGCAATGGGTGTGTGCGTGAGTGGGAGGAATACTGAAGGAAGCATTCGGTTGTTTTCCTATCTCCACACACATGTGTGCATTTCCTTCCTGCCATGAAGGCCTTGTTCCCCTTTTCTGCAGACATCTGCACTGCCATGGAGAGAGGAAACCACTGCTGTCCTGTTGTGGCCCAGAGAAGCATTGGGGAGACGAGCAGCCAGAGCCTTTGCACAGGCTGTTGATGTAAGCACTGAGCTCTGTGAGAGATAGTAGGAAAAATAAAAGTGTTTTTTATTCTTTGTGTCTGTTAGTTAAGCTGGTGTGAGACAGTGATCAAACCGTGCTGGAGTCGGGAAATCTGTTTCACGACATCTTCTGAGCGTTTGTTCCACAGAGGAACAAAACTGTTGAGAGGTTTTGTGACACTGAGTGGTGTTGGGCAGCCTGCATGGGGAGAGATGGTTCAGGGGGGGTGGTTTCAAGCTCTCTGAAGTCGACCGTGGAGACCAGCTGGAATCTCAGCACACCTCCCTCCTGAAAAATCATTGGAAGGTGTAAATCTTCACAAACCCCATTCTATGATTTTATGATCCCAAGAAAACCAGAAGTATTTTACTGAAGGCACTGCCATTAGCTTATGTAAAGTAGGAGGATTCTGGGCAGGTTTGTAGACCTCACAGAAGACCCATATTGTCGTGGGCCATATATGCTAAACCCTTCCTCTCTCGGTGGAAACACTGCATGGCTCACCGTTTGCTGGCTTGTCATAGGTTTCCTGTGTGAGCCGATGGTGTTTGGAAAGTCTTAACCGCGCAACTATTTTGGTCAGGATTTGAAAAAAAAAAAGAAAACAAAACACGAAACCACCAACCCAGCCAGACAACAGAGCGCACAGCGGCATTCTTGGTATGAAGTCAACCGTATCAGCACAGGAGTTGGTACTACTGATAGAGCCAGTGTGGAAACGTGATACCTGGCTGTGTGTGCCGTGTGGTGACACTGGGACAAACTGGTCTAATTTTTGGGTTATGCTGGGGGACTCGATGATTCCTATGGGTTCCTTCTGATTTGGGATATTCTGATTCTGTGATTGAAAGTGGGCTGTCTGATACAGCTGTCTTCCAAAGGGTGAGATCCTCACCACTGTGCCTCTGTTCCATGGTCAAAATATGGGATGGGACATTTCCATCCTCTCACGAGCTCTCTGTTGGCCTTTGGGGTGGTCTGCAGCTCTCAGGACTCCTGCCCAGCTCTGAGAATAGATGTGACAGATAACACTTGATGTGGGAAGCACTCTGTCTGATTTCTGTCTGATTTCCGTGTGCTCTGAGTCACAAAGCACCGCAGCCATTGCCGGTGGGGTCAGGGCGGGTGGAGGAGAGCCTTCCTTAAGTTTGCTTCTGTCTGGGTGAATGAGAAAAACCAAAGCTGTTTGGGACTTTTATTGTAAGGGGCAAAGATCTTATCTTCTATCACTACATAATATCCTGCTCAGGAAATCTTTTCTCTAGAGAGAGAGAAAGAGAGAGAGAGAGACCTGGGATGTTTGCAAGAGAATAACTAGCAGGCACAAATCGACAGGGCTTGAGTCAGAACCCTTCCCTGCAGGCAGCCTTGCTCCTACTTGTTTTTGATCACTCATTTGCAACTGGATGCCTCTGGCTGGAGGTAAGGGCTGGAGATGAAGCCGTGTCCTGCCTGAGGACCTGGCTGGTGGTCCTGCATCCATAGGAAGGGGGCAGTGCGAAGGGGGGGGGGGGGGGACCCCTATCAGGGGGAATGGGTGAGTCAGCAGAGAATTAAAACACCCAGGTGTCAGCAGGTGGGACAGATGCCATATGAGAGGAGGCGGTGTTTGCCAGAAGCCTTGCATGTGCGTGTGCCTGGTGTTTGCTCACTGGGTGTGTAACAGCAAAAGTGGTGAAGCTGTGTGATGTACAGAGGAAAATGTTGGGAGTGAGTCTCTAAACTTGTCTTAGATGGGGTTGTGCTCAACTCTGAAAAGGACATGGTGGGGACCAGAGGAAGTGCCTCCACCAGCCCCTGCAGGAGAAACAGAAAGGTTTGGGTCATGCAGGTGGTGGATGCCCCATCCCTGGAGACATCCAAGTTCAGGCTGGAGAGGCTCTGAGCACCTTGGTAGAGCTGTGGGTGTCCCTTTTCATTGCAGGGGAGTTGGACTGGGTGGCCTCTAAGGGTCCCTTCCAACTCAAATGTTTAATTCTGTGATTCTATGATTTTGGGTCCAGGGTGAAACCTACAGCTCTTTTATGGTGGGAGGCTTGATTCGTCCCTGGAGCTTGTTCTACACTTTGTTGATTTTCACCTCTCTTGGACCCCTCCTTGTCCTCGTAGCACGGGGCTGGTTTGGGCAAGAAGGAACATGGCAGTGGTGAGAGCAGTCCTTTGTGTGTCCATTGGGGCACTCCAGCCCTGCTCCTGGGGTGGCTGTGCCTGCTGGAGCTGGGCTGGAGGAAGGCTCCCTGCCAAGAAGCCCTGTGCTGGGTCTGGGCTCAGTCACACACTTCCTGGGGATGCCTCCACACCCAGCTCCACCTGCACACATTGCTGAGGACCAGGGACCAAAATTAAGGCTGGAGCACTTATTCTTGATCTCCACCGGGCTTTTCCCAACCACTCCCACTTTCTCTTTTTGCTTGAACCCCCTTCCATCCAGAACTGGCCCTACATCTGGAAGGTTCAGCATACAATTTCTGGAAACCCTTCCAACAAAAGAGCCCCGCCTTTGTACCGAGGGAGGCCACACCGGGTACCCCCATTTAACCCCATTCAACTGTAGGGATCTGAAAGCCGTCGTATTTCAGAAGAGAAGTTGCCGGTGAACCACATCCTTCCGGAGATCAGCTTTAGTCCGGAGCAGCAGCTGGAGGAGACAGACGGTCCACGGGCTGAGCAAAACCCTTCCCCGGCTCCCCCAGGTGAGCGGCGGCCGAGGGGAGGCTGCCCCCGCCCCGCCGGTGAGTGTCGGCGAGGGGAGGGCGCGGGGCTGAGCTTCGCATTGCCGGGGGGTGCGGAGGAGGGAGGAAGGGAAGGAGGGAGGAAGGGAGGGGGAAAGGTGCAGCGGGGTGGGGAGAGCGCTGCAGACACACCTGCCGGGGCGGGAGCGGCGGAGCGGGGCGCGGAGATCGGAGCGGGATGGCAGGTAAGGCTGATCTCCCCGCAGCCCTCGGAGCGCGTCCCTTCCACTTACTGCCTTTGTCCCCCAGTGTGGATTCTGCTTCCGAATGTGGATTTTGCCCCCGAGTACAGATTTTGCTCCCGAGTACAGATTTTGCCTCGGCGACCGCGCTGCTGGAGTTTGTTCCTCTTCCCCTCTTTCCCTCTACGGGTTTCCGACTGCCTTGCGCTCCCCACCCCGATCCCAGGAGGATCCCTGCTCCCGGCCCTGCCTGCCGAGAAGCTTCTCGCACAGCAGCTGTGGGTTTTGTGGAGTGAAACTTGGATTTGAAAGCATAAACTTTGACTTAGAGCCCGAGGAGCAGGGCTCAGAACAGCACGACTTCTGTTGCATCCTCCCGTATACTCATCTCCCTGTGGGACTGAGCCCATTTCTGCAAGAAATGCAGATTGTTTTCTTTGTTCAACCTCCTTGTCAGCAGGATGATCCAGATTTGTAGCAGCGGTTATGCTCCTAAGCCTTTTGGTGCTGGGAATCAGACACGTGTATCTTTTGTGGTTTCGAGAGTCCCCTCGTCCTGTTATCCTCCACCCAGCGGACCCTGAGCCTTCTGTAGTTCTGTATGGAGGAATACCTTCAGCACACTTCTCTCAGACACCCTCCTTGCTGTGCTGATTGGCCTTCTGAAATAGTGCGATACCATTCCCAACAATAGAGAAAAAAAAGAAAAAAAAGAGGAAGATTTTCTTCCTTCTGCCTTCATGCAACATGAACCTCTGCACTGCATGAGTTGGACTCAATGATCCTTATGTGTCCCTTACAACTTGGGATATTCTATGATTCTATGACTGCTGCTCAGGATGTTGGTGGATGGGGTAGGAAAGCTGCCCTCGTTGCCAGCACCAGAACAGGAGGTTATGGCACCCTCTGTGAAGGAGTTGGATATACTTTGCCTGCTATAAAAGGATTTGTGCTGGCTGGTGTCGTGAGTGTTGTTTCTCAACTGAAAATTGATGCTCTGGTTGGGTTGATACCTGAGTGAGAAAAGAGGGCTCTATGGATACCTGCTCCATTGCTTCATCCATGGGGCACATTCACCAGCTGTAAGAGGCTTTGTCCTGTTGACTTCAGGAGGTCCTTCTTGCTTTGGTAGACGGAATGATTGCCTTGTAGCTTTGCCTTGTTGCTGAGTATTTGCAGTGCTCTGCACACACGTGTGGAAGATGCGTGGAAGATACACTTTTGACATCCCCCCTTTGACTCCACTACCTGCTGCCAAGCTGCCCCATTGCACACTGTTCTTGAGACCTTCAGTTCAGTCACTGTTGCCTGGAGGTGGTGCACAGGGCAAATGGATCCCCAGAGAAACCCACCCCTCTTACTCCAGTATGAGAAACATGTCTCAGGCGTAAATACTTTTATGCTCGAGTTTTCACTTCTCTGGAATAGGGGAATAGGGGAAGATGTGTGGTGGTCCGGGGAATTCAGGTTGGATATTAGGAAAAATTTCTTCTTATAAAGAGTAGTGATGCACTGGCACAGGCTGGCCAGGGAAATGGTGCAGTCACCGTCCCTGGAGGTGCTCAAGAGCCGTGTGGATGTGGCACTGAGGGACGTGGTCAGTGGGCATGGTGGGCTGGGCTGATGGTTTGACTGGGTGATCTCAGAGGTCTTTTCCAACCTTAATGATTCTATGATTCTACGATTTAAGAACACTATGGTGTGAAGATGTTATCTTCCCCAGTCTTCTTATAATATATGCTCCTAAATTCCTTATGCCCCACTGCCTCCGTATAGGACAGTAGTTGAGCCTACTAAGATCCTACTGGACAGAGTTGTTTGTAAAATAACTTTTGACATATCTGAGTCCTGGTTGATGATTGAACCGTTTGCAGAATCATACCTTGACTTGTCCACCCATGTATTTTGTCCTTTGCTTATTCATTTCTCCTCAGATTTTCTCTTTCCTTTTATCTTCCCAGCCCTGGAGAATGCCTCTCTCCAAGCCTGCAGCCTCTCGGAGCAGGAAGAGGAAGAAGATGCCCTCTGGGAGAAGATAGAGAGCGCACGGCACCAGCTGACCCGCTCCCTGAACCCTGCAAAACTCACCCCGTACCTGCGCCAGTGCCGTGTGATAGATGAGCAGGATGAAGAGGAGGTGCTCAATTCATGCCGATTCCCTTGCAAAAGCAACCAGACAGGTGGGAGAAAGCACAGAATGGCAAGCAGTGCTCTCCCCCCCATTCCCTTCTCCAACCCCTCCATTTCATGGAGGGAAGTAGAATTGGTGGAGATGCTTTTTTGTATTGCCCTAACTCCTTGTCTGTTCTTCCAGGCTACCTGATGGACATCCTTCGGCGCCGGGGGAAGCGAGGCTACGAAGCCTTCCTGGAGTCTTTGGAGTTTTACTACCCAGAGCACTACACACGACTAACAGGCAGGGAACCGGCCCAGCGCTGCTCCATGATCCTGGGTAGGGGCAGTGCTCGTCTTCCCTTCAACTGCTGCATGGGAAGGGCCAGAAATATGTGCATGGGCGCGTGCATGCATAAACCCCTGGTTCATGGTCCCTGTGTGCAAGGAACCTTGACAGTCGTGTGCTCTGAATCTGGCAGGGTGCAGACTGAATGCATGCGTGCAATGGACCGAGGGGACCAAATGCGTTTGTGTAATGGTCCGTGGTGCCGCTAACCCAGGCTGCACGCCTCCAGGAGGCTGTGACACCCTGTGATGGGTGCTTTTTGGGAGTTACCCATTTCAGCAGCCATATCTGAGTCTTCTTCGTCTCCTCCAGATGAAGAAGGCCCCGAGGGGCTAATGCAGTTCTTGCTGGTGGAGGTGAAGAAGATGAGGGCTCAGAGGAAAGAGCACCTGCTGAAGGAACATCAGCTCCAGGCAAAGAACCAGACCCTGGAGCAAGAGCAAGCCCGGCTGGAGCAGCGACTGCAGGAGCTCCTGAAGGTGCAAGAGCGTTGCCAGCGACTGCGGGAGGAGTGGGACTCCAACAGTGTGGAGCTGCTGAGGCTGAAGGATGAGAATTACATGATGGCCATGCGCTATGCACAGCTCTGTGAGGAAAAGAACATGGCTGTGCTGCGGAGCCGTGACCTGCAACTGCTGGTAGGGTGTTGGGAGATGGCTCATCAGTGGGGCAGGGGGGTCCCATAGCAGTGGGGTTGAATGGCCCAGGGGGACATTCAGCTTGCCCATGTCTTTGGAGACATTCATGGTCAGGCTGGAGGGGCTCTAGGTTACCTGATCTGGCTGTAGGTGCCCCTGTTCATGGCAGGGGAGTTAGAATTGCTGCCTGTAGCAGCACTTTGACCAAGAGTCATCCCCCTCCCCGGCACTCCCCATTGCCTCCTCGTCCTCTGCTGACGTTTCGGAGACTCATGCTGCATACCTGAAAGAATTAATGACACTGCACTCCAGCTGCCAAGCTCTCAGCTCCAGCAAACATGCACCCGTTTCCTGTCTGGGCAAGGACCAAAATACCTGGAACCTCTTAATAACCCAGCTCCAGGTGGTGCCTCCTGGCATTCCCCTCCTGCTTTGGGCTTCTCACACAGCCTTGCGGTTCTCATTCCCTATCTCATTCTGCTCCTGCCAGAATCCTTCGCTACCTTTTATCTGTTGTTCCTGCCTGCGCTCATTCTCCCAGACCTCCTCTGAGCAGAGAACTGAATTGCTTCTGGATGAGGCACTGGCACAGGCTGCCCAGGAAGGTGGTGGATTCACCATCCCTGGAGGTGTTCCAGGACCACGTGGATGTGGCACTGAGGGACATGGTCAGAGGGCATGATAGGGATGGGCTGATGGTTGAATTCAATGACCTTAGTGGTATTTTCCAACTTTAATGATTCTATGATTCTATGATCCTAACAATGGGATGGAGAAACCCTGTGGAAACGGGGGCACTCTGCTGTGGATGCATCTCAGCTGCTCCAGATCTGGGAAGCCCTCGAGGAGACTCCCAGCTACTCACGCTGGCAGCACACCTGGGGGCCCTGGTCCATGCAGTGTCAAGGCCAGTTGCACAGTGGATGCCCTAAGGTAGCAAGAAAGTTGTTGCACAAAGTGAGGAGTCAGAGATCGAAAGTGCTTATGCAAAAATTTGATGTATGTGCACCCTCCTCTCCTCTCCTGCAGGGGAAAGCTTTAGTGTGCAGTGTGCTAACTTTTCCCTAGCTGAAGGATTCTCCCTCATGTGGTTGCCCAGCTTGCTTTCCTCACCTCCAGGCCATTTTTCCGCCCAGCTCCCATTCTCCCATGGCGGCAGAAGTTCCAAGGCATGTTTGTCAGGCTATGTGTTCTCCCTGGCTCACAGGTGGACCAGCTGAAGTGCAAAGTCACCAGCCTAGAGGAGGAGTGCAGCCTGCTGAGGAAGCAAGCGACTACCATGCCCCAACGGGATGCAGAGGAGCGAAGCCACCCTGACACTATGTCTGAACTGTGGGCTGAGAATCAGCGGCTGACGGCATCACTGCAGGAGCTGCAGGGCATGCTGCAGGTACCCCATGGGGAAGAATGGTTTGGGTTGGCATGGGGCTTTGCATCCATCTGGTCCAAGCAGGGACACCCAGAGTGGGGTGCTCAGAGCCACATCCAGGTGGGTTTTGAAGGTGTCCAAGCTCCAGTGATGATTATGGCAGTTTTTCAAGCCTGCCCTTTGCTCATCTGCTGGGCTGGGCTAAGCTGGAGGTGCTGGCAATGTGGTGAAGGCATCTCCTCATCTCTTAGACTCCAGGCGAGGTCCCAGTGCCAGGCTCTGAGCAGATCTTGCTGGACATCCTGGAGCACGACTGGAAGGAAGCCCAAGATGACCGACAGGACCTCTGCCAGAAACTCAACTCCCTGCAGAGTGAGCTGCAGTGGGCTGAGGAGCTGAGGGATAAGGTAAAGCATCCATCACCACCACCCTTTTCCTGGCACGCAGCCACAGCAGTCACTTCTGACTAAGTGGCTAATGTTCACTGCTCACTGTTGCCAGTACCTACAGGAGGTGGAAGACCTGCAGCTGAAATATCGAACGCTGCAAAAGGACTGCGATCTCTACAAGCACCGCATGAACACAGTACTGCTGCAGCTGGAGGAGATTGAGAAGGAGCGGGACCAGGTGAAGTGCTCTCTGCCTGCCAGCAGAATCAGGGCTTTTGGCTTTGCTCTGGGTACCTCTCCTTCCCCAGTGAGTCTTCTCTATCAGTGGGAAGTGGGTTTTGTAGTGTGGTCCTTCTGACCCCCAGCGTGGCTCCGTGTAGGCTATCCAGAGCCGAGATGGGGTGCAGCTGCAATACTCACAGAGCCTGATTGAGAAGGATCAGTACCGCAAACGTGTGCGGGCCCTGGAGGAGGAGAGGGACGAGCTCCTGAGCAAGCTGAGCCGGGTGGAAGGGCTAAACAGCACGCTGGAAGCACAGCTGCAGCGGTGCCGGGGCAACCGCAGCCTGGGCAAGGTGAGCAGGGCTGGAGAGAAGAGGGAGCTGAGGACAGGGTTAATCTCAGGGGGAATGCAAGAGAATGATGAGTCCCTTCTCTCTCAGATGTGCAGCTCCTCCTACTCCCTCTGCTCCAACCTCAGCAGCACATGGAGCCTTGTGGACAAGCCTTCTGACCTAACAAGTGGACTCACAGACCCGCTGGATGTTTCTGCCATCACCTTCCCGGGGGACTCCGCCATTCAGAGCATGGTAAGCACTGCACCATGAGGATGTTGCACTGATCAGTGGGGCAATGGGGACACACTACAGGGCTTTGACTTGGTGGAAGGCTTGGTGTGGGGCAGGGAGCCACACTCAACTGGTGGGAGAGTGGGGCGAGTAAAACTCTTAGAATCATAGAAACATAGAACCATTAAGGCTGGAAAAGTCCACTGAGATTATTTAGTCCAACCATCAACCCATCAGCACTGTTTCCACTAACCATGCCCGTCAGTGCCACAACTGGCAACCTAGAAATCAACATCCCCATATAAGGTTGTTATTCTCCCCAGAAAGCTTTGTAATCACACCCTGGGGGGTGTACATTACAAAAAGATGGGGACACAGTGGCAGGTGTCTCCATTCCTGCTGTCTCCTTGGGAAAGCAAAAGGCCCCTGGGTGTTAGGGTAATTCTGAAGAGAGGTACCCCAGGAGCAACCTAGACCAAAGGAAGGAGAGGTGCTGGTGTAAGCAGGCATCTCTCTCTTATTCTGCCCAAGGAGGGGACTCCTGACAGCGAGAAAGACATCAACCGCCTCTCTACCTTCCCCTTCCCTCCTTGCATTGGCTCCATCCTTCGGCGGCAGCGCGAAGATAGGTGCATGCCCTACAAAAGGTGACTACTTGAGTTGGGGTCTCATCCAGGGTTTGTGGGGGCTGGAATGTGCAGTTTTGCTATGGGGAACCTGGAGTGGGAGCTGAGGGTGAAAACTTCTGTGTCAGAATTGGTGGAAAGCTGTGGGGATGGAGTTGAGAATGGGATGCAAACAGGCTTTGAAATAGCTGCTACCTCTCATCTCACCATTGTGTTTGCTCTACAGCTTGTCCTGTGGCTCCTTTAGCAACATGGAAGATACAACAGGTACTAGGGTGGGAGCTTTCCCCAAAGAGTTTAGCAAGGGAGAAGTGGTGGGGTTAGGGATAGAACAACATTCCAAGAGGTGATGTGCCCTCTCTCTTCCTTTTGCTCTCTTTCCTAGGCAGTGGTTTTGTTAGCATCCCACCTGGGGCCTTCTCCTCCTCTTCCAGCAGTACCTACACCAGAGTGAAGTCAGAGACCTGCTTGTCTATGCTTACCAGCCACCAAGAGATCTCCAGGAGGTACTTCCTCCAGGAGGAGGACCATGACCCGCTGCTTGGGGGAATGTATTCTGGTGCTGAGGAGTCATGCCTGGGAAGCTGTTTGTCCTGCAAGTCCTTCCCTGATAGCAAGGGAGAAGATAAACATATTGGGCTTAGTGGGGTAGAGAGGCATGTGGGGATTCACAAACGCTGTGCACCTGCCCTGGTGATGGACCATGAGCCATGGGAATCTAGTCTTTAGAAAGGGCAGCAAGCTTCAGTTGCTGGTGTTTCTCTTTGCCAGGTCACTGGTGGTGCAGCTCACGAGCATGGGTCACCCCAGCAGCCTGTCGCCCCATGAGAAGAGGCTGGGAGCAGACATCTCCATCCTTGGAGGGAACAAGACGGGGATTTATGTCCAGTGGGTCAAGCCAGGCTCAGAAGTTGAGAGCACAGGACTCAGGGAAGGGTGCCGGCTCATTGAGGTGGGTCTGGGAATGGGATCATGCTGGAGATGTGCACTGGACCTGGAATGCATGAGCATGGAGTGAGGCCCAGTGTGAACTGGCTTCTGGTTCGCTTGAAGCCCTCCTCTATCTCTCTTGTTTTCCAGTTCTGCTCTTTGCCTACAGCTTTATGCAGCTTGAACAGGCATAGAGTCCTCTGCACTCAAACATGCCAGTGTATGTGATGATGCTCAGTCTTGCTGAAATGCTTCCTTCAGGTGTGAAAGGGGAAATCAAAAAAGGAGCCACATGGATTAAGGCAGCGATATGACTGTGTCTCCCTGGAGCTTCCTGTCCTTGTAGTATTGCAGAGCAGTTTGCGTTCTGCATATGCCTGTTGCAAAGCAATCAATTCTGGAGAGACATCTCGCAGGCTTTCATGACCCTCTCAGAGAATAACTGCTGTGAAGAGAGCTCCTGGAAGGAGGGAAGGGCATTTGTTTTGGCAAGAATGACACCACTTTAAATACAGCCACGGTGCTTGAATTGATATCCCACCTGTAGCTGAAAATAACCCAGCTTCCCCGCCTCTGCTCCCACACGTGTTTGTGCACATGTGTTTGCTTTCATATCAGCCCAGCATTCAAACTGGGGGGTGGCTGACAGCAGCAGTTTCAGAGGCAGAGGAGAGAATCAGAGGCTGATGAGGATGCTTATCCTCAGGCAGAGCTTGCCCTGGGCCTGTACCATCTCTTGGTTAAACCTGATGGGTGAGGAGCGGAGGGGAGCCTGCACTTCCAGATCTAATAGCATCCATTCTGTGCTAGCTGAGGGTCCCATCACTGAAGGAAGAGGTGCTTTCCCTGGAGAACTGTACACGTGAGGTTGCTTACCTGAGCCTGCTGCATTGGGATGAGCCCTCCAGCCTTGTCTTCCAGCTAGACCTGCAAGGTAAGGTCCTGGCAGCTGGATTTCCTTCCAGCCTGAGCTCTTTGCTTCCCTTTGCAAGCCTTTCACCCAGCCCTGGAGGTAAGTCTCAGCTATTCTCTGTCTTCTTCTCTTTGGTCCTAGGCTACCAGGTGTGATACTGGGCTTGGCCATAGCTCTGGTTATTTTCCTATCTGGTGTCACATGTCCTCTGTTACATAATGGAGGTACAGACCTTCTGTCTGTTTTCCTTTGCATCCCCCTCCGAACCGTAACATCAGAGATGTGCTGGAGGCTTGGCTATCTTGTCGGTTATGGTTGTGTCTACCGTGTCCCCACCTGTAGTGACCTACATCCCTTACTCCAGGGTACCAGCCTCTGCAGGAAGCCCTGGAAGAAGGGAAGAAGTTTTCTGGAGACTCCTTCTATATCCGTACCAACCTGTCCCTCCTGGAGCCATCAGACCCTTATGCACTATGTGTCAAATGTCGGGAGATCCTCCACGTCACAGACACCATGTACAAGGGGCGGCTGGAGTGGTACTGTTCCCGTGTTGATCCCTTGACCATGCGGGACTTGGACAAGGGGACAGTGCCCAACTACAGCAGGTAACAGAGGAAGGAGGAAAGCAGGGATGTACATGGTGTGCTTGCTTCGTTTCTTTGTGGAGAGCGTTTCTGGGGAGTTCAGAAGCGTGTGGGTTTGCCTTTTCATTGTGTGGGATTTCCAAGCCTTAAACCTTGTGCTGGGGACCAGTGCTGTAGTTTTTGGGTGCCCTTGACAGACAGGGAGGTTGAGTGAGGGTGTTGATATACCTGTGGGGTTTGGGAAGGAGCATCACAGCCAACTGTGGTCCCTGAGGTCTCTAGAATTGCTTGAGTTCAACACCATTGTCTTTTCAGGGCACACCAGCTTTTGAAGATCCAGGAGAAGGTCCACATAGCTGGGCAGCAGAAGGGCCACAGAAGTAACGTAAGCCAGAGAAGCCAGCAAGGGAAGTTTTTGTAACACACTTTTGTAATGGTCAATATTCTCAACCTTGTTGCACTCCCTTCCTCCTCAGCTAAAGAAACGGGCCTTGGACCAACTGCGCTTGGTGAAATCCAAACAGCAGAAGAACTCAGAACAGCCCTCTCAGCAGCTGTGGCTGGACCCCTGCTCAGGTGAGCTGCTAGCTGTGTTGTCTAATTGTCTCTGGGGATCCAGCCATCCCCCGTGAGAGGACATCAGCAAATGGGATGCTTTAGTCTCCCTGGCCAGGGCCCTTCTAATGAGATTTTGAGAAGGCAATTCATATTTAAAAACTCCTGCTCTTAGGCTTTCTGGGGCTTTCCAACGTTTCTGTAATTCCTGGGATCTTCTAAGGTTTTATGGAGAGAGAAGAGGTCACTATGGTCATAAGGTCGCTACTGGTGTCCAGCTCCAGTGAAGCCCAGGGAATGGAAAGAGGGTTGTAAAAGCCAAGGCAGTGATGTAACCAGGAAAGGGTCTCTGCTTGAGATGCCTGGTAGGTGTCTCCATGAGTGATGATAGAGGCTGGTGCAGGAAGAACTGAATGGTCTGTGGGATGGTGGCAGACTGCTCTCTCAAATTCTCACCTTTGTCTTTCTCTTTTTTCTTCCTATCTTTCAGACCCAGACAGGAGACTGAAGCCTTACAGCCTGGTGCACCCTGTGGTGGTCAAGACACCCCGTCCTGTGGTGCTGTCACCCAGCTGCATCGCATCACGGCTCATCAGGAACCTGCTGGACTTGCCCACCTCTCGCCTGAACTTCCATGTGTGCCCAGCAGGTAGGCAGTTAAGAGTGGCAGACACGTACAAAGTTGCTTTAGGAGCCCATGGCTAAGTGACATACAGCGTGCAAGTTGCCTGCTTTCTACGTAAAAGGGGCTGTTTTCACTTTGTTGCCTCCTGTCACTTCCTAGCCATGAGGAAGGAAGAAAACATGCTGCTCAAGGAGGTAATTTCTGTGGAGGCCTTGGAAAGTCCAGTTCAAGGAATAAGTCCTGAAGTAAGAGATATATACACATGGGATTCTTGGAGAGGACACAAGGTGCATCTTCAGTAGTTAATTGTGGGGGTATTTCAGCCTTCCCAGATGATAACCATTGAGCCAATTTTTGGGCCAATGCTAGGCATTCCCTCCTGTTCTTAATCGGATCCTATCCCTTTGGCCTTCAGGGAGGCTAGTCCTCCATTCTGGTCTTCTGAGACATGGGGATCCTCTTGTTTCCTTGAGTGGGTGATGGCGGCACTGCCTTGCTGCTCTGGTGGCTCTTCCAAGGGCTAAAGCCCTTGCCTGAGATGGGATGTGTAGGTTGACTTCACTCCTGCCTTTCCTCCTTGGGAATGACATTATCCTTCTTTCCACCAATGACCTGAGACTGTCACACCACTGTAGGAGCTGTAGGAAAAAAGCTTTTCTCCCATACAATGTTTTCACACAGGACAAATTCTACTTCCTGCCTCCTTCATCCTCCTTTTCCCATCTCTCTCCTTTCCCATGTTTAGAGTTCATGCTTTGCCAGCTGCTGGACTGAAAAATGAACTGGCATACTTTTAGGGGGTGGTGAGAAAGCTATTCTGCTGAAAAAGGATGGCTCTGCAAAAATGTGGTGGCTGGGCTTCTTAGCTGAGTGACTTGACCATATATCCTGTCCTACTGAGCCCTCTGCAGGGTCCCCCTAACATTGCACGGGAACGTGCTTCAAAGCCATTTACTGCAGCTGGAGTGCCTGCTTCAGCCATACTAAGATTCAGAGCTTCCTACTACCGTTTGTGGTCTCTGTGTGAGTTGCCTCGTCTTCTGCTGGAATTGCTGGGGGCACGTGGCGTGCACTGATCATGCCAGACTTCACTGTCCCACCAACTCTACTCCCAGTTCTCTGTCTCAGCATCACCTTTCTGCTGCTCTGCTGCATGGCATGGTCTGAGGCGCCATCTTTCCACCTCTGAGCAGAGAGAGGTGGTTTGAGTTGACACCGACAGGAGGTTCAGCTTGCTCCCCATCTTCCTCCCAATCTCCTGTGCCAAAATGTGTGCTCTCCCTGCTTCCCCAGTCATCTGTGAGCTCATGCAGCTCACCAGCCTTGCAGATATATTACCTGGCAAAATAAAATAATTCATTTTCTGCTATGTTTCATCAAGGAGGGGCTGGAGCAATGTAGAAGAGGGGTCAGATATGGGAGACAGCTTTGGATGCTGCTGTACCACAACACAAGAGCTGCTCTTGCCCTGCAAAGTCTTCAGCTGTGATATCTTGCTTGTTCTGTAAGCAGAAAGCAGCAGGAAATCCATGCCAACGTGTAATGCTGTGCAATTAGGCTAGCTCGACAGAATCCGTAAACACTGAACTCAGTGAGCATCAGCACCATAGCAAGCATGCAGAATATGAGGTAGAATGTACAAGAGGGAGATGAGGATGTTGCCTCCCTCTTCATCTCTCCTTTCTCTCTTCCCTTGCAGAGAAGCTGACAGAAGGGAACCCCGGTGCTGCCCATGTGCAGGAGCCCCCTGTGTCTAGAAATGCCTCCCAGGAGCGAAGGGAGAGCAGTCAAGTCTGCATGATCCAGGAAGCAACGGAGAAGGTGCTGAGTGGTTTGGGGAGAGAAGGCTGGGATGGGGTACCATGTTCAGGTGGGAAGAAAGGGTGGGACAAGGGAAGGCAATTGTCTATTTTAGGGCTGTGTGATTTGGAGGGTCGAGGTGCTGTGGGTCTGGGAATCGGTGACTGTAGTCTTTTCCCTGAGTCTCTTTCAAGCCCTGGTGAGAGAAATGGGAACTGGGAACTGGTAGGGGAGAGAGTGGGAAGTGCCATACACAGAAGCAACCTCCCTGCTTTCATGTTCTTTGTTTTAAAGAAAGCAGCAAGAGCTCTGTTGAGGGCAAATGGAGAAATGTGGGGCTGTTAGTGACAATGGTAAGAAAAGGGATGAGAAGATGGGCTGAGGCTGAGTGAGACATCTGGTGGGCTCTTGGGCTGGGCTGGCTGTGATGGAGTGGGTGACCCTGCTCTGTAATTCTCTCCTTCCATCTTGGCCTTGTCTGTAAATCCCACATTTAATGGAATTACTATTGGAAAAGCAATGATATTTCACAGTATGGGGTTTGATTTAATGCATCTGTCAGGGGCTGGAGCTATTTCTTCTCCACTTAAATCAGTAAATCTATTCAATTTCCTTCCAGAATAAACACTGCCTGCTGGAGCTGGGAGTTCAGAGTGTGAGGGATCTAATTAAACGTGAGATATACCCCATTGTTATCCACGTTGAGGTCACTGAGAAGAACATCAGGGGGCTCAGGTAAGATAAGACCATGTGGATGGATGGAGGGCATCGCAAGCGGGTGAAGAATCACAGAATCATAGCATTGTTTGAGTTGGAAGTTGTTCCCTTAAAAGTCTCGTAGTCCAACTCCCCTGCAATGAACAGGACACCCACAGCTTGATCAGGGTGTTCAGAGCCCCTCCAGCCTGACCTTGGATGTCTCCAGGAATGGGGCATCCACACCACTGGGCAACCTGTTCCAGTTCTTCACTGTTCTTATCATTAAAACTGTTTCCTTATGTGCAATCTGAACGTCCCTTCTTTTAGTTTGAAACCATTTCTGCTTGTCCTATCACAACATACCTCGCTAAAGAATCTGTCCAGTTCTCTCTTATAGCCCCTCTGTTCAGAAGGTTCAGAGAGGGTTGGCAGCAATAGAGGCATGTATGTTTCTTGGTTTTGGTTGTTGTGAGGGGAAAAGAAGGGCAAAAAAAGCATTCTGTGTGCACATGAGAAGGTTCTTGTTTGGGGCAACGTTGGTATTTTCCAACTCCATCTGTCTATGTGAAGGTGATGTTTGTTTCTGTGTTCCCCAGGAGCTTGCTGGGGCAGCCAGGCCAACGAGATGCAGAGGTGCTGAAGGCATGCCGTGGTGCTGAGCGGGCTCTCCATGCCCTGCCCTGCTCCTGGGCCCGCGTGGAGCCCCATGCCTGGAGCCACGCAGAAGAACTGCCCAAGGTGGTACGGGGCTGCATCTTCCAGGAGCAAAACCGCCCGCTGTGGGTTGAGGATGGTGATGACTGAATCAGGAGGTACAGAGCCTTCCCCAGGAGTTGTCCTTCACGTAGCATGTCCTCTCTCTCCAAGGGGAAGCCAGCAGTAATGGGACCAAGTAGCATTTAAGGTCCACTTGAAGCTATGAAGAGTTGGGGACGTAATGCATGCTGACCCACGCACCTGAGCTTTCCATATTTGATTGGAGAGAAGTCTTCCACCTTCTTGCTGGACATCTCATGGACTGTTCCCCATCACCTTGAGCCTTTGGCTCTGGTACATGGTGAGACCAGGAACACGAGGAAAACATGTGAGATGAGATTGATCAGGAGCATATCTCATGCGTGCACAGTTTAGTGCACTAAAACCCTTCTCTCATCACCTCTATTTTCCCTTCTCTACCTCATCTCCTGCCCCACGGAGCAGGAAACACAGTTTGTCTGCAGAAACCCTGCTGCAGCCCATGACTGACACTAAGTTTGCAACCAACCCTCGTTTTATGGGAGCTGTACTCTTTATTGCTTGTAAATTATTAATGGGCCCTTTTATCGGCAACCCGTGTGCAAAGGAGAATTAAATACCATTCATAATGGGAATGGGAGGCTGGCTGCAGACTTGTGTGTTAATGGGAAGGCTTGGATGATATGTGGGCATGTTTTTGTCCTGAGACACATCTGCCCAGCCCTGTAGGGGTAGAAGACAGCATTGCTGTTGTAGGGAAGCAAGAGGGACAGGGAGAGGGTAGGTTGAGTGTGCCACAGGCTGGGCTTCCTCACATTTCTTCTTATCCCCCATTTTTCAGCTGTTTCCCTCTCCCCAGTGCTGAAGGTGCTCTAGTTCAGCCAAGGAGAAGCATAGAATCACCAAGGTTGGAAAAGTCCTCTAAGATAATGTAGTCCAGCTGTCCACCTACCACCAATACTGCCCACTAAACCATGTCCCGAAGTACCACATCTACATGTTTCTTGAACACCTCCAGAGATAGTGTTTACACCATTTCCCTGTGCAGACTGTTCCAGTGTCCAGCCACACCTACGGAGAAGAAATTTTTCCCAATATCCAAATTACATGTTGAGAAGGTTACTTGGTGTCTGGCCGAGGTTCCTAGAGCTTCAAATCCCTCTATATCCTGGTTATCACAAAGTGAAAAGCCAACCGTCTTGTTCTTCTCATGAACAAGGTTAAGTATTTGAAGGATAGATGGTTTCCTGAGCCATGCAAAAGGAAAATGGGGGCTGTGGCTGTGGGAATCTCTATGGTGCAGGAGACCGGGCAGTGGGCTGGGGTCAACGGGAGAACCAATGAGCCACCAGCACATACAGACTCTAGATCTCCATATCCTTCTCGCCCCTATGATTAGGGAACTGATACTGCTATGCACTTCTGAAGTTCCAAGTAAAGATTAACTTGCTGATCTTCATGGGTCCCTTGTGAGGTGTTATTTCAGGCTCTAAAACAGTTGTCTCTGTCTTTTATGAGGACAAGAGTGAAAGGGGGGAGGAAAGAAAAAGAATACTTTAACCTGCAGTCACTTAAATGTAGAGCAAAGTCCCAGATCTGCCCTGGAGCTGTGCAGCTATGGAGGGGATTGGTGTAAAGGGGCTCCAGCCAGGAGGTCCCCAGTGCTGTCCCCTCCAGGGGACCAGCCCAGGCATCCCAGCACTGTCAGCCCTGGGAGGGCAGATGCCCTGCAGGTGAACAAAGTGGGGCTCTTGTTGAGCAGATGAGAAGACAGTCCCAAAGCACGCTGGGTTTGCAAGGGAAGGAGGTTGGAGCCTGCAGCTTTTCAGGGGAAAAAATGAAGTTTGAGTACCGAGGGAAAATACTGCTTGTGAGGCACTGATTCAAAGCTTGACAACTCCTCCTGCCCTCTGGCATTGGAGCTGTCACCAGCCTCATGGCTGGGTTGATTACAGAGCAATACCCCCAGCTTTGAGGAGCTACTACTCCCCAGCAAAACAGATTTCTCCACACATCTCCCTGAGTCGTCTGTGTTTCACTGGGAGGGAAACTAAGGCAAAGCAAAGTTGCATTGAGAGGCAGGTTGCTGCTCCAGCCTTCTCTAAACCCTCCTTTTGTCCATCTTGTCTCCCTGGAGGCTTTCAGAATCCAGTTACAACTAGCCCTGGACATGGTTGAGAAAAGGGGCAGAGGACTCTGAGACAAACATAATACTCCCCTGCCCTGCGCACCCCTGCCCACCTCAGTTGTGTCCCCAGGGGTGCAGCTGTGTGCTCAGAGGAATGAGTCACGGGTTAGGTAATGGGCAGAATGCAATTAGCAGCCCTGGGCATCAATTACCAGCTGTGCCAGCCTTGCATAAAACCCTTGTAAAGTAAACGAGAGCAAATTTTCTCCCTCCAGGGAGGGCAGGGGCCAAGTGGTGTGTGTGTGTCACGGCAGGAGGCCACCAGCCCTTCCCCATGCTGTCCCAAGCAGAGCTGAAGCAGCTTTAGGTCACTTCTAGCTTACGGCATGTTTGGGTTTGCACTTGGTTGGGTAGAACCTGCTCTACTGCTCAACAACATCCTTTGCACAAGGTGGTTTAGCTCACCCTAGCAGCCCCCAGTGGGCTTTTGTGGGGACCCTCCACCTGTGTCCCCCTTTCTTTCCCAGAAGATCTCCTGAGCCAGGAATGGTAAGTACTGCAGGATGCTTGGGAGCCACAGAATCATAGAATGGCTTGAGTTGGAAGGGATGTTAAATCCTACCCAGACCCAAGCAGTGCTGCCACCCAGCAGGTTAGGCTGCCCATTCAACCATCCAACCTGGCCTTGAGCACCTCCGGGGATGGGATACCCACAGCTTCTCTGAGTAACCTGTGCCAGATGCCCCTGTACATCTGCCTGGGCCTACAGATGTAGCCAAAGTACTTAGAGAGGGTCATTTCTGGTTCAGGAGCAGGGATGAGCCATGGGGGCAATCCCACTAGTCTGGTGGCCGTGGATTGGTTATGCCAACTCACATTCCTGCAGTAAAGGCCTGAAAGGAAATGACAGACCCCCCCTCCCCCCCACCTCAAAACAATGTGAAAGAATAGGGATTTAGTCCTGCAGGGAGATCCTCCCCATGTCCCGGCCACACAGTGGGAGTGTGCAACAGAGAGAGCCTGATCCTGCCCTAACCTCCTTTTATAACTACCCAGAATCAAACGTGCAAGGGAGAAGGTCTTTGTCACACAGCACACCCAGGGAACCATGCCGCTCTCACCCTGCTCCCCCCTTTTTCTCCCTTTCGTTATTATTATTTTTTGCTCAGACTCGATGCCCACAGCTTGCAGCTCCCTAAGGACGTGCTCTGATTTTTATGTGGAGCGCTGTCATCCTGCTGTCCCCATGCTTGCTTCTCCACAGAGTCTGGGGCGGGGGTGGACTCCAGCTCCAACCTCGGCTGGTTACCTCTCTGTACCCCTCAAGTTCTCGCTGGAGTGGCCTAAAGGTGGCTGACCCAGAAACCCTATGGGGCAGCCCATGGTGCTGACCCCAAACGCAGTGGTCCTTGCGCTGGGGGGGCAGGGGGCAGTGGGAAAGGAGTTTTCAAGAGTGAGTGGGCTGGCGCTGTGGTTTGGGGAGATGAGTTTCAGACACTAGTGAGCCAGACACCAGTGAGATCCTGTTGACCTGAACCTGAATCCATTCCCTATGCTCTTGTAGCAGCGAAAGGCTGCACAGGGCTTGTGCCCTCCCATACAGCGGGGGCTGGGCTTTCACGGGGGAAGGGGACAACCACTCAAACAACAGGTTTGCCCTTCCCCATCAGCTGCTTGTCACCTAGGAGTGCTCCCAGCCAGGGGATCTCGAGCAGCAGATGAAGCCAATCCGCTTTCAGCCTGGGGGCTGCCCCCTTTCATCCTCCCCCCTCCATCCTCTTCCTCCCCGGGGGCTGGCGCTCCGCCCCATACCCGGAGGCGGGACCGGGCGCTGGCAGGGACCCAGCCACGCAGAGGGAGCAGGTGGACGGCCAGGCAGCCCCTTCCCACAGCCCTGCTCCAGCCCCATAAGCACATGGCTTGGATACACTGGCTGCTGTCTTCTGAGGAGCTGATGTCTTTGTCCGGACACCCCCCTGATGGCTCTGATCTCCTCTCCTGACCCTTCCACATCCATCCCAGGACTCTCATCTTCACGACCAGGAGCAAAAATGCTTGCTGTCCCTTTGACAGCCTGTGCCAGCCACCCACCAGTCACTTTGGAGTATTTTCCCATCACGTGTCCGCATCTTGCTGGATGATCGGCGCCCTGGTCTGTGGAAATTCCCCTTGTTTCATCTGTTGCTTTGTCTTGCTGGTCTTCATCTTGGATAAAGTCCTTGGCCACATCCCTCTCATACCTTACTCTCAGTTCATCTCACCCTTCTAAAGTTTTAAAGAAGAGCGGAGAGATTCACATGGAGGTACAGGCTGGCTGAAGCTGTCCTTGCTTGAGCTATCCAGAAGCCATGGGCCGTCGGCTCTTACGGGGTCTCTCCGGAGCTGCAGTCTTTCTGGTCGGTGTGGCTCTCCTTTCTGTACGGCACCGTGGAGCTCAGGAAACCTTGGGATACCCAGGGCTCAGGGAGCACGTACTGGAGAATCCAGAGCAACGAACACGTGAGAGCCCAGAGGATGCCAAGGGAGGTGGTGGCACTGGGCAGAAGAACCTGCAGGTCAGTTCTCTGGACAAATATAAGACTGAAGGGAACCTGACCCTTGGGGATGTTTTCATAGCTGTGAAGACCACCAGGAGATTTCACCAGAGCAGGATGGAGCTGCTTCTGGACACGTGGATATCCCGGGCAAGAGAGCAGGTGAGCATGTGGTTATGTGGATTTGGGCTACAGAGAGTGTACATGGCAAGGGGAGTCTATGGGGAGGCACAAAGCCAACAAAAGCAGAGATTGGGCACTGTGTTGCTTCCCTTTGCCTCATTTTCCCTAATGCTCATTGCTGTTCACACTGAAAGGTAGATGGTATCGCGTGAAATGTTGTATTGATAGCTGGTTCATGGGGAGGGTGGTCAGAGAGGCTCAAGAGCTTCCACTGGTGCTTAGTTATGGTGGTCGGAGGGGCTGAAGTGGGCACTTCCCATGAAGACTGGGACATGAGGTCTGATTTTTGTGTGGTACTGTGTGAATTGAGGAGTTGGACTCGATCCTGAAGGGACCGTTTCAACTTGAGATACTCTATGATTTTATGAGTGCTTTTAGCAAGCATCACCATTGCCTAACCTAACCCCAACTCCTTTGGCTCGAGGTGGAAGGGATTTTCTTTCATTATGTCTAATGACTAACAGCACAGACTGCCCGGGACACCCCAGATGAACAGAACAGACCTTCCACAGCCTATCTGAAATAGTGGCTTCCCATCTCCTCACAAGTTTGCAGGGTATGGAACTGTGCTGCTCTGCAGGTTGGCTTTGTGGTGGGCAGAAGTTCCCTTCCTTGCTTCTCCCCCCTCACAAAGCTGCTCCTCAAGAACAAAAAAACCCTGCGGCTGTCTCCAAAGGGTATTTTTTTTTCCTCCTTTTGCCTCTGCCTGCATGCAACAAGATGACTTCAGGCCTATGTGCGGAAGGGAGGCGGGGGTGGAGGTTTTGGGTAGGAGAGTGCTTGAAGCAGTGCAGGGTTTTCTGGGTAAGGGTGGTTTTCCACTTTCGGGTGCTGCTGTGGTAGTCGCAGGAAATCATGTCCTATTTCAGACACACTTCCTCTCCTGTCTGTGTGACTGTCCTAAGCATTTGAGAGACCCTGCTTCCTCCTCCACACGCACTTCTCCTCTAAGCCCAACAGTTCTTTGGAGAAACCAAACTGTTCCCTGGGCACACGCTTTCAACAACAGTTCCAACTGAGCTTTTGGAGTGGACTTGCACACAGCAGCTCAACTTCCCCTTCTTGTTCAATTGACAGACAGACATCTTACTGTCCTGCAGATGATAGGCTGAGAGGTGATGGCCATATGTTGCACTAGGGGAGGTTCAGGTTGGATTTCAGGAAAAAATTTAATCACAGAAAGAGTGGTGCTGCAGCAGCACAGGCTGCCCAGGGAGGTGGTGCAGTCACCGTCCCTGGAGGTGTTCCAGAGCCGTGTGGATGTGGCACTGAGGGACGTGGTCAGTGGGCATGGTGGGGATGGGCTGGTGGTTGGACTGGGTGATCTTAGAGATCTTTTCCAACCTTCATGATTCTGTGATTCTACGGTTCTGTGGCAGGATTTAGATACCATCTCCCCACATTCACCAGACCATCTCTTTTTGGCAGACAAGTGATGTTCCAACGTGGGAAGAGGCAGTGAATTTTCTGTGCTGCTGCCCACCCATAGGAAAACTTCATTTGTAGGAGGATAGGAAGGAAGGGGTCAAATGGGAGGGTCAGACATTTTTTAAACAGTGTTTTTTCATTGTTATCAAATTTTGTTACAAGCTCAGCACTATCCTTCCCCTAGCCCCTCTCAATTTTCCATGTTTTTCTTCTGCTTTTTGTACTAAATGCCCTTGAGGGCAGGGGAGGGATGGGGAGGCAAAGAGAAATACATGAATGTCAACAAATAAAAAATATATAGCTAGTGGGGAAATTTTGTCAGCTGGCCATGCTTCTGATGCCAAGCCTGGCTTAAGAGCTGGTTCCTGCACAGTGCCCTCCCAGAGGAAGTAACCTGGACCTCAAAGGCCAGGCTTAGGTGACTGCAGCAGGAGGCAGGGCCAGCTGTGATCCTTTATGGTTAGGAGAGATTGTGTGGGAGCCAAATTATCAAGGAAAAGTCTTTTTGTTAGAAAAAGCTTCATCTAAGCACAAGTGTTTTGATGACTGTCTAGGCTGAACAGCATCCCGAAGTTGCTGGTACTGTTGGCCTCTTCACATTTTGATGGAGATAAGTCTAGTTTTTCTGGTCTGAAACAGTATTTTATTTGGTAATATAAACAAATTCCAGCACCCTTCCTTTCAGCAACCCAAACATCCAACTGATGGAAATGAAAACTCGGAGTGACCCACCCTGAAGTGTTTTTTCATGCTTTCAGTGTTGTGAACACACTGTAGACTTTGAATCTCTTCTCTGGGCAGGGGAACAGTTTCCTGCCCAGCTGTACCATTACACGTGTTGATGTGTTTGCATTTTGGAGGCTGTTTTTTCCTGGGGAAGAAATACTCCGGGAGCTTGGGAGATTAATATCCTGGACTGTCAGGTTCCACATATTTATTCCCTTTTTCTCATTTTTCTTGCTTGGGTCACTTTCCAGTTTGGTCTGAGGAAGCCTCAAAATATTGTGTTAATCCATCACGTGTACTTAAGTTCATAAAGAGGTGCCTGGTCAACCTATTGGACAGCAGTGGCTCCATATCACTGCTAGCACCCCAGCAAACATCTTTTCCAACTTCTCTGGTCCAGAACTGAAGGATGTCTTCCAGCCTGATCCTGGTGTGATTTCCCTCCATCACTGACAGGAGAAATGGTCTTAGAGAAGGTGAGGTGCAGAAGGCAAGTGGGAAGCTGTGGTAGAATGACAGCTCTGTGGGCCCATTGGTCCACCTGTCAGAGAAGGTGTCCACAGGCCTTGGGTTCCTAAAGGAGTACGCCAGGTGTCTGCAAGCAAACATTCCCCTTTGCATCTAGGGGAATGTGAGTGGTTCAGAGTATTGCCATTAATAGAAAGATAGATAGGCAATGAGATATTAAGTTTATTAGGCACATGATTTCTGATTGGTTTTGCAACTGTAAGCAAGTCATTTCTAGAAACATTTCTGTTTTTTGCATGCCAGGAAATTTGAGTGGTTTCAGAATTGTTCTCTTAAGATGAAACATTTGTCATAGTGGAAATTTCTGCCTTTGGATGTGCTGGCACGGCGAGTCCCATGCTGCTGGGAATTCCTGCTGTGTTTGAACATTAAGATACGGTCACCTGACTCAGGACTCCTTCACCTGTGACTTTGCTAATTGCTTCCAGTCCCATGACTGCCTTGAAAGTGGTTTAAACTAAG